ATGATAACATTTTTTTTTAAATATCCTATTGCCGAAGAACTTATACTACCAGTAATACTAAAATATGGGAATTATACAAACAAATTTTGTGTTCTTTAAATTGTACATGTTATAGTCATACTTACAGATTCTTGGTGTTGGATTATAAATTAAGAAGAATTACAAATTAACTCTAATTGACAGCAAACGCTCAGCCAACACCACGCTTTACGAAACTACCAGCAAAATGGCGTTTACCCGAACGAAATTTAAGACTGGTTCGCAATGTAATACACTACATAACATGGTCCACAAATTTTTTAATTATTATCATATATGAAAATTGATAATTTATTTATAATCTCTAAATTACACCAAAAAGTTCTTTAATGGAAAATATCTTAACCATAATATATTTTTTATTATATGAAACGTAGAAAATGTAAAAGGCAGCTTGGTTCTATAATGTCCACGCTTCGTAATTCATGCGAACCAGCCTCTGTGATTCTCGTGCGAATCCACCCTCTTAATTTAGCGAGCTTACTTACGCATTATGTACGCATTCATAGCGAAAATAATACAACCATAATCTTAATTCTACTATATATTTAAATATAACTTGTACGTACTATAATATAGGATAAGGACCTTAGCGTAATATTAAATTGTAATTTGTACGTTAAACTGACTGACGTAGTGCATGCGTGCGTCGTTGCGCGGGTAAACCTCCGGAAGTAACAACAAAGCTGTAAAGATATTCTCTTGTTTATTAATCGTCCATCAATTGCTTTTCGCGAACTTTATTACTTATTATTGTGCGGCAAAGCAAGCTTGAGTTTTCAGGCGAGCTTTAGAGTTTAGAAGTGGGAGATGTAGGAGAAATTGTGACGTCTTGTTGTTAATTAACCAATAGTGCTAAACTTTTATTGAAAATTGAAAAATTAATGTTCCTTTTGTGTGAATTACAGAAGGAACTTTCAGGCCACCACAGGAATCATGGAAAAGACTTGAATATCAGGAAACATGAAGAAGTACAATTATTTAGCAAAAAATAAATTATTTATTATAATATAAGTGTACAAAATGTATTTTGCAAAAGGTTACAATATACCAATACTGTTTTACAGCATTCTACAGCCTCTTTACTCCTCCTTTACATACCGCGTTCATCTCCTTTTGCAAAGAACCCATTGTTTAAACTATATTCCATTGCAAAATTAAATAAACTAAGTCTAAAAACCTCTAGAAATGCGTAAAAATTAATTATAATTATCAATTAAATATAATAGGGATGTAGAGGATAACAATAACGAAGAGAAACAACGAAACGAATAGCGGTAGACAAAGATAACACTATACAAATGAGTTAGACAAGGAAAGGAATAGGATTAGACAAGAATAGAATTAGAGTAATGAGTCAGACAAGGACAGAAAATTTTAGAGGCGAAACTGACGCCATCTCGCATTAGGTGACGCGAACTACGATTTTTTAATAGGAACACTGAATATCATCAGAGGTATTAGACAAGGATATCACCAGTGTGCGAGAAGGATAGAGAGAGAGAACGCTTCCTATTGGTCGGCAGGCCGCCATGCTCTAACTTTCAGGCCCTAAATCGCGTCGTTCGCGAAAAATCATTAATAACTCATTAATTACGATGATTTCGTGAACTTTTTGAATTGAAGAATGAAGAGTGGACCTTCAGCAACTTTCACATATAATTTTTAGCACACTAGACCCTTTCAATAATTAATTATTAACAATTTTAGTGCATGATGTCGGGAACGATACCACATATCGTAAAGTACTTTTACGGTTTTTCAATAATTTCATAGCTTTCTGCTAAATTCCCATGCAACTAACTGTATTCCTCTGAAAGAGAACTCCTTTGGCTACATTCTCAAATAATTTTTATTAACATATTCGGTTTAGTTTAAGAGTTATTAAACATAATTTGGAAGCGTCCCCTATTCATTGTACTCGTGTATAGTCAACGGTTATAAACAATTGCTAATATCTAATAAAACACATCACTTACGTTTACCAAAATGATTGGAGAATATAAATAAAAGTCCGTTCTACATTCTACACGCATGAAAGTGCACAATTAATAACGTATTTCTATTGAAATAACGAAAATGTGTTACATTCGAATGCGACGATTATAATACTCGCCTAAAGAATATTATGTAACTATCAAACCACAAGAGAGATGTTAATAGAAATTATATGAGAATGTAGCCGAGGGAGTTACCTTTCAGATGCATACAGTAAGTTGCATGAGAATTTAATATAAAGCTATGAAATTATTGAAAAGCCGTAAAGGTATATAAACGTAAACGGCATCATTCCCGACATCACGTACTAAAATTGTTAATAACTAATTATTGCGAGGGTTCAGGGCACTGAAAACTATATGTGAAAGTTTCTGAAGGTCCACACTTCATTCTTCAATTCTAAAAGTTCACAAAATCATCGTAATTATTGAGTTATTAATGATTTTTCACCGTTCGATGTGATTTAGGGCCTGATTGGCGGAGGTCAGAGGCCCGCCAGCCAATAGGAAGCGTTTTCTCTCTGTCCTTCTCGCACACTAGTGCTATCCTTGTCTAATACCTCTGTTTATATTCTGTGTTCCTATTAAAAAGTCGTAGTTCGCGTCACCAAACGCGAGATGGCGTTATTTTCGCCTTGAAAAGTTCCTGTCCTTGTCTAACACTCTATTCCTTTCCTTGTCTAACTCATTTCTCTAATGCTATCCTTGTCTAACCCTATTCCTTTCCTTGTCTATCTCATTTCTACAGTGCTATCCTGTTATCGCTACTCGTGCCCTTGTCTCTCTTTGCTATTGCTATCCTCCTCATGTCTATTATATTCAATTAATACTTATAATCAATTTTTTAATTATTTTGACATTACTTATAATGAAGATTATAGTAATTTAAGAATAATAAGTAGTTTATAATTATTGAATGTATTAAATAAAATTGTTGTGTGCTTTAATTTAATAGACGAGCCTAATTTATTAAATTCGCATTGAATTAACAATTGCATGTAGAAGATTAGTTAGAAATTGTTTATAACTTTATTTAAGATTTGAAAATTAATGTTCTTTTTGTATAAATTAGAAATATTGCTTTCAGGCCACCACAGGAATCAAGGAAAGGATTTGAACATCAGGAAAAATGAAGAAATGCAATTATTTATGAAAATATCAATTATTTATTGTAAGGTAACTGTACAAAGTGTATTTTACAAAAAGTTACAGTATACAAGTATTGTTTTACAGTCTATTAATTTCTCCCTTACACACCACCACGACCCATTTCTTTTTCCGAAACATTCATTCTTTAAATATTCCATTACAAAATTAAATAAATTAAGTCCAGATATCGTTAGGAACGCGTAATAATCGACAAAATCGTAAAAATCCCGAAATTTAAGTGAGAAACTTTGAAAACTGAACGAAAATAGCCTGTAAAATGTAAACACAAATCTATGGCGTCGCGTTTCATTCCTATCGAAGAGACTGTTCCACAAATCCTCGCCGTCTTCCTCATCGACTATGCTGCGACTTTACCTTCTACGCTGCAGCCGATACGTTATCGACGATTGGTATCCTATCGACGTATAATTTACAGGCACGTCGAGCCAGCAAGGGTGTGTCCAAAGAACACAGCAGAAGGTAAGAGATAAAATATTTGCTCATTCCAAGCCAAAAAGGACTGTCGCAAAATTGGCGTTGTTCAATCCAAAAGAGAGATCTCGTCAAATGCGGCACACTAACTGCGTGGACGATATAGTTTCTAATCTCTGTTTGTTCACGTCCGGAACAGTATTAATTTATGAACACACTTGATATCACTGTAAAAAAAAATTTTATTATTTCAATTAAGTAATTATGTTCACTCTTTAAATAAAACACGAAGTATTATCGATTCATTTAAAAACGTATGTTAATATTAGAAATATAAGTATAATTATTATTCACGATACGCCTATTTCGGTGTTCTTAAACCCATCTGAACTTGATCGTGTAACAATATTTTTTATCTACTATTGTAGGGACTTTATCGCGTGAAAAACGTTGTGTACGTTTTTCCCTAGGTTAGATTCCCGTGAGCTACCTGCAAGTTTTGCAACGGCGTCTCTCCTTCTTTCTTGGTAAGACACCGATGTGTTCGGTATTACAGGGCGCTACAAAGTATTTTATATAGTATTGTTTTTTATGTTCTTTTGCATAGTTTTTATATAGCCTTTGTGAGTAGTCTGACGTTTATATTTTTTGTGTAAAACTAAAGAACATTTGCTAATTATACTAAATATCTCTAGTCAAATAAACTAGCAGCTTTTATTTCGCCTGCCCGCCGTCTTTGAGAACACACGTGGCTTGTGACGCCACACTATATCGATCGTGTTACACATAGTAAAACATTTAGACTATAGGTACTTTAAGAGTATATTGATACAATATAACGCGTATTGCGCAAACGATATTGTAAACGGCGAAATGTTATAAATCGTAAAGTTAGAAGAAAATAGAAAGTACGTGTCTACGGTCACGTCTGGATAGAGGTCGTGACCGAATCTAAAGAAGTAGAATCCCGTTCGGCAGTGGAAGGATTGGAGTCGAGGGATCGTAGAGAAGGTAGTTGACAAAACGTCTATCGTGTTGTCGTGAGAGAGTGTGTATGGTGCATATTAAGGAGAATCATCGTCAGCTAACTCTTCGTAGTGATTTCTACCGCGAAGAAAATCAACGACACGTGCAGCCGGGTACTAGTGAATCGAATTTCATCGACAGGTCATCCAGGAGCGCACAATGAGCTTCCTATTGTAAGTTTTTTTACGTTTCCAGTGAAAATCGACTTTTCCCTACCCGGGTGCGCTTTTACCTCATTGCAATTCCGCGTTGAATTCGATTTTCGTAAACTAGGCGCATCGAATATCGAGCGTTTCCACCGTTAATTGATCGTTCGATATTTTGCCAACCCTGTTCGTGACTGACAAATGACAGCGAGGATGGATCGGTAATTTGTTACCGTGGACCGGTCACAATGAAAAGAAATATTGACAGAAACCGCTTGGCCAGTTCCCGTTCACTTGCCTCTCGACTAATTTAGGTTCTCAACCCGATGCACTCTTGAATTCGTGTACACCGCGATCGACCAATCGGTGGATACCTAAAAATAGCGCGATACCATAATTTCTTTTAAAAATTCCCCGTTTTTCACGATCTTCGGTCTTCGTCTCTTTCTCCGTTGCTTTCACCCGTGGATACCCCCGTTGCATGCGCGCAACGTATTCATCATACGTCAAATTTATCGTTACAAACATTTCTTATCTCGATGGACTGCATCGCGGAAGTAGAATTTCTTTTTTCCGCGACGCTATCGCGATAATCATGATGTATCGACGAAACGCTTAATCATAATTGAAATCGATCGATTTGTCACATCCGCCCTAATCGTCACTTTTCTCTCATTTTACTCCATTTCACTATTCCGATGTTTTTTTTTCATCGATTTCTTTGATAAATCAATAGTTGTTTGTATAATTGCGATAGTTTATGTATTGTTTATATACAGGGTGTCACCGATTTGGTGTTCCAAGCCGCAAGAAGGTGAATGTACCTGAAAAAATAAGTCGAAGAGAGAGAATAATATTTTTTTCGTTTAAAGATTCATTTTCAAGTAAATCGATGTTGAAGATTCGTCGAGTTCGTGTACACCTGGCCACACTATAGACTACTTTTTTGTTGCGTCTCTATACATGAACTTCATCAATGTCATGACTTGTTGCTATTTCCGTGTCAAACTTCAAGTCTTTGTCGTTCTGTCGATATGTCGACATACAGCAACAGAGAATACATTGATATGATACTCGCGTTGTGTTGCGTGTACCGGCAACGCATCTATTGCTGTTAATTATTACAAAGATCGTTATCGTTATCGTTTTATATATCAATGTTTATCCCTTAGTACCTAATGTTAGAAATCGGAACGATAATTGAAACAGCACAATCATATCCTTCAAACATAAACACAATTAAGATCATATAAAAATGTACGAGTCTTCGAAACATCGATTTACTCAAAAACCAAACCTTAAATGAAAAAAACATTCTTTTTCTTCGACTTATTTTTTCATGTAGATTCACCACTTTTCGGCTTGTACCACTAGATCGGAGTCACCCTGTATATGCTTGATGTTTATACATCGAAATATATAAACAAATGTTTTTTTTTTCAGTAATGTAATTATTTGTTACTCCTTGTTATGGAATAATAGTAAAATTTATGTATATGTAGATAAGAATTGTATTATTTTTTTCACAAATAAATATTGTCCATAAAAAATGAGTGTAACATTTTTAAATATCAGTCATTGCTGAAAAATATTTTTATGGATTTCTTAAGCGGAAGCAGGTCTTCGAAAACCTTCAAGCCAAAGAAGAATATTCCTGAGGGTACTCATCAATATGACTTGATGAAACATGCAGCTGCCACCCTGGGCTCTGGAAACTTGAGACTTGCAGTTATGCTTCCAGAGGGTGAAGATTTGAATGAATGGGTTGCAGTAAATAGTATGTTTATCTATTTGTATTATTGCATATTTGTTTGTTCGTATAACGGTAATTGTAAAAAAAAAAAATAAATAACTTTTATATTATTTCAGCTGTTGATTTTTTCAATCAAATCAACATGTTATATGGCACTATCACAGAGTTCTGTACAGAGGAAAGTTGTCCCATCATGTCAGCAGGACCAAAATATGAATATCATTGGGCTGATGGGCACACTGTCAAGAAGCCAATTAAATGTTCTGCACCAAAGTATATTGATTACTTAATGACTTGGGTGCAGGATCAGTTAGACGATGAGACCCTGTTTCCATCAAAAATTGGTAAGTGACATTATCTAGTTAGATAAGATATCACCATATTAATATACTGATAAAAATTCACTTTTTTCAGGAGTTCCTTTCCCAAAAAATTTTTTGTCCATTGCCAAGACAATACTGAAACGATTATTCAGAGTGTATGCACATATCTATCATCAACACTTCAGTGAAGTGGTACAACTTGGGGAGGAGGCACACTTAAACACATCATTCAAACACTTCATATTTTTTGTTCAGGTAAAAGGAGGAAAAACTAAACAAATTCTTCGAGAATTAAAAAAAAAAATCTTTGACCTAATCTTTCTAATGTTTTATCCTTGATTTTATTCGTTGCAGGAATTTAACTTGATAGAGAGAAGGGAATTAGCGCCGTTGCAAGAGTTAATAGAGAAGTTAACAGCGAAGGATGCTCGATGAACGATCTCGATCACTGACCTAAAACTCCTCCAAAGAATCTCACCCGTGCTATCTTTTTAACAAACGTGTAACTATGCATGTTATTTAACTAACCCAATTCATTGCTAACGCGATCATTGCCTCAAGTCAGGAGTCACTGGTATTATACAATATGACGTATTCTATTCATTTACGAAAACAAGTGACTGATACACGCATTTTATAAACGGAAGTAATGCTCGACGAACAAAAAAAAAAAAAAAGAAAAAGAAAAAAGAGAGTTTGATCATTCGCAAGATTGATGAAATTACGGATCAAGGGGGTGAGAATTATCAATGTAGACTTTTGTAAAATAGTTATACATCCGATACACATCATAGTGCTCGTTTTGTTTCACACTTTAAAAGAAGAGAAGAAAAAAAATGTTTTTTTAATTAGTCCAGGTGAATTGTAATTTATTAAGCGTGTCGAATTTTTATATTTGAAACATTGAAAAAAGGGGGGAAAAAGTTAGTCAGAGCGTGGATCACACACACACATAAACACGAAGAGATTAATTCATATCGGCTATATGTAGAACGGATTATAGCTTTACAAACAGTTCGAACAACGATGATACTCGGTCTTACGTTTCTATTCTCATCGTTTGTTATTACCTTTCGAACTATCAGCATGTTATGCAGTTTCATTGTAAAAGTTCGAGAAGTATCGTCACTTTTATAAATAGAAACGATACTACGTGGGTAAATGTCTGAAAATAAAAATGCTCTCGATGGCATTTTTCTCTTTTTTCTCGAACTTGCGACATCTTCGTGAGAGTGTTGCGTCTTCGATATATATCGAGATGAATTGAAACGGCCCGGAATTTAAGCGTTTTATATCATTGCTAACTGCACATTGTTGGTACATAACGTTATTAAGTTAATAATTACGCTATTTACATTTAACTTCATACTATGTAATTAATTTATAATAGAGTTAGGGATTTTATACGCATCAACACACAAACACACACACACACACACACATTTTATCCTTTATACGAGTGAGTTTTTGAGTCTGTTCTATTTTAGAAAGCACATTGTGGTATCTTTAAAGCTTTATTTTTTTTTCTCTTACGGAAAAGGAAAGTTCTCCGCGCGAATGAAAGTTTGTTTACATCGTCGCGCTATCAGGAGTGGCATATACCGAGCGATATCCATAGTAATCTTGGCATAGGAAGAATGTCGGCACCGCGCGTCTGCCCAAGCTCTCATTAATATCGTAACACAATTCGTTTAATATGTCTATTTTTTTTCGGCTCTTTCCGTGATATCTACCATGTCAGCTTAAGGCCCAAAAATACACGCAATCCTTGCGGAGAACTATATTTTCCTTTTTAATTAAAAAAAAAAAAAATAAATAAACCTCTAAAAATACCACATAATTTTGGGGGCTCGTCCGGGATGGAGGCATCTACGATTACACAGCAAGGCGATGAGAAAAAAAACATGTGAGAGGGTGTACGTCTCCCAAAAGAGTTGAGAAACAGAGTTTCGGCTGAGTGCCACTGAGTGGTGGGAGAGTGTACTCGAAAATGTTGAGAAGTGACATTCGAGGGAAAATGTGAGCGCCGGATGGCCGAGTGTAGGATCGGTGCCTCCATACCCCCAAATAAGGAACACCAACGAGGAGAAAATAGAGAGGGTGTTATTGGCGTAGTGCTCAAAGTCTCGGCTTTTGCCAGTTGGAGGGAGGTGTCACGGGTTCGATTCCCGCGTTGGGTCCCCTCTCAATTTTTTCCTCGGTTCCTACAATATTATATTATATTTAAGCCGTTTGCGTCGCGTTACTGGGAAAATTCTTTACACACTTTCTGTCCGATATTTCTATTTCTTCACATTTTCTCTTAAAAATTGTTTCTCTCTTTTAATATTTTACAAAAATTCACATATGCACACTAAGAGATTGGCGAGCATTTTCATTTTTCAAATACGACACAAATTCGACCCGGGAAATCTTTCAAAACAGTTTCGAATTAATTCGATGGATACAGGGTATCCCAGGAAGAACGCAAAGGGCAGACACATTTTCGTATAAGTAACATTAAATGCGCGCGACGCGTATACAACTACTGTGTACACGTTCACACGTGATTTATTTCGCTGTAAGAGAAGAATTTTGATATACGTATAGAGATATCAAATAGTACATATATTCGTTTATAGCGCGTTCAGCTACGTACGATAGTTTTCTCGCTTATAGGAGAGATCAGATGTTAATATATATAAATATATTAATATAAATGCTTACTGTTTTCACGCGCGGCGAATTGCACCCGTGTTGTATTCGAGTATTTAAAAAAAGGATGCATTGTATTCGCTTATAACTAGAAAAAATACTCGTCGGATGGTTTCTGTTCACACACTACTCTGTGCCCTTTGCTGTGATGTTCGAACTTTGCATTTCTGCGTAACGAGCTACGTTTACACGTAGATGGGGTGAACATGTTTTTTTTTTTTATACACTAAGTTTTCGCGCTGCTATTGATGTAAAATGGCGCGACCGTTCGAACGGAGGATAATAGGAGAGAGGATAAGAAAATCATTGCGTACACGATGAATGAAAGACGTGAGTTCGCTTTCAGCGGACTTGAAAAGCGCGGTAACTCTATTGAACGAGCATTCTTTTAAATCACGGACGTACGTTGTTCGACGTTCGAGACGAGCGAAAGGAACAAAGTGTTATTTTTTTATAAACAAAATGTCTGCAACCGTTTTAACACACCGATTAGATATTCCGTTTGTCTCTCTCTTTCTAGTTCGCATTGACGTATGATAATTGAAAGAAAAAAAAAAGAAAGAAACTCACTGTGTAAGGTTGCATCAATGTGATACGATTTTTCATGTAAATCAGCGAGGATCAATGAGAAATTTCACGAGGTCCAGGATTAACATAAATGTATTTTATTATAAACGATGTGAACGAACTCTAGCTTTCGTAATGACGTGAATATTTATCGATAGCAGGAAAGGAAGAACGAGATACTCGGAACGGTTACGGAACGATGATAAAAGATGGCCGTTTCGAGAGTTGTTTTTTCGCGGTGGTTTACAAGGCGCGTTTTTTGAATGTAAAACGAAATATAAGCAAACAGTAAAAGAAAGTAACAATAATAATAATAATAATGGCTCGTATCAACGGTAATATTGTATTCAGTACTTAAAGAGGACCGGGAGAGTTGTACCTTATAGAAGAACTTTTCTCGCAGCAGAGACGCGATCTCGTCTCTCTCTTTGTCTTTAAATCTCACCGTTGTTCTTTTTTTAGGTTAGAGAGGCGAGATCGTTCGAGTATAATAACGTTGTCAGCTAGGAATTATTTTACACACGAATAACGCTGTTATAAAATTACGATTAATATTATTATTAATTAGTATTATTAATACGATTATCGCTAACACCTTTATTGCTATTTATGTATACAGTGATGAACGTGTCGAATCGGCGCTAAGAAACAATCGTCTGTTAACGAAACGCATTTAGATCAAATTTTTGTCTTGTTTTTTCTGTTTTATCGTTTTCTTGACTTAAGATATACGTAAATCCGTTATGTTACGTTTTCGACTGATCTGTTGCACGAAAAAAAAGCGATTATTTTTCTTTCGTTCTTTTTATTTAAATATATATAT